ACCTGAGGGGCTCATCTTCCAGCATCATATCTTTTAGCCTTTTGTTTCTGTTCATGGAGTTTTCTTGGCAAATATACTGGAGTGCCTTGCCAGTTCCTGCTCAAGGTGGATCGCGTTTGGTCAGAACTCTCCACTATGACCTGTCCATCTTGGGTGTCCCTGTGCGGCATAGCCCATAGCTTCTCTGAATTACTCAAGCCCCTGAGCCACGGCAAGGCAGCAATCCTTGAAGGGGCTCTGTGTAATAGGAAACATTTAATGACCCAGTTTATATGCATATATGCAAACCCAAAGTGATTGGGTCATCTGTATATGAGTATTTAGCCAGAGAATACTCCCTGTCGTCCTGTTTCTGTTTCCAAACCTTCCAACATTGTTGGGGGGTGGGAATAGCCTCTTGAAAAACAATGGGTCAGCCTTCCTTAATAAACAATGAAGAACTCTAGTATGGTATATGTATACTTACTTTGACACTGCATAAACAACATTCAGAGGAATCGGCTTATGGAATGGAATGAAAGGTCTGAAAAAAAATTACAATAGTGTGTTTAGTAAAAGCTAGTACATTTTTTTAAAAAATGCCAGTACTACTTCCTTCAGTTTTGGACTCCTAGGCTGTATGTTTGTGGGTGAGCATACTACTCAGTTCCTTTTCAGCAGCAAACTGTTCCTTTTCAGCCCTTCACAAACAACAGACATCATTCCCATGATTTCTTTAATAAATAAAGACTTATCATAGCATAGTTAATTCCATTTTCTATGAGAGACCGTTTTTACGAATTTAGATTTAGCATAATTATATGCTACTCTTACATGGATGGGGCTTCTATTGATCAGGGCCACACTTTCTGACTTTCACTGATACAATAACATCAACTGCTCCCAGACCAATAATTTGGCACCCCACAAGAACAAAATTTAACAGTATTCTTAGGATTTCCATGTTTGTGTGGAATAATGACAGGAAGTGTTAAAGGCTTCTACAAAGCTGCATAGAGAGAAAAATCAGGGAAGCCAAGCATTTATGCTTGAAATCCTACTGGTGTTTGCATAATGTTTCTGTACATTGCCGTGGCTAATGCTGGCTAACTGAAAAGATGCATGACTATATTTTGCTTCCATAATCAGACATGTGACCAGGTACAATTGAGATGTCTTGCTGACACTGTGTCAATTAGCTAAAGTGAGGTATGCAGACCTTATATGAACACCAACAGATGGTGACCAAAAAAAGAACAGTTTACCAAAATTGGCAATGTGGGGATCCCTGACCCACAGCACCAAGTATTATAGCTTAAACTCTTCCTTTCTGATTACTCTGAGAGGGATCTTCCCTTCAGACCTAACTGAGCTTTAGACTGAAGGTAGGGATTAAATTTTGACTGCCTATTATGCTGCCTTTCAGTCAAGCAACTTCATAGGAAAGCAAACCACCACATTAAGATTAACGAGCAGAGGACATGAGATTCTTCACATGACATAATTACTGCCAATGAGCTTAACAAAGATAGGGAACTTGTGGCTCCTCAGATGTTGTGGATCTCAAATCTCCATTATCCCTAGCCAGACAAACCAACAATGGGGCTTGATGGTCCATGAGTTGTCATACTTACTCTTAACAGTCCAACTAACCTTAATATAAAAAACATCATACTGTACTAGTGAAATACACGTAACATGGGGGAAGACTGAAATAAAAACCTTGATAATCCTGAGCAAAAAAGAGGGTTATATATTCCTTACTCTGACTTTACAACCAAGGGAGAAGAGATAGAAGACTGGATCATGTGGTTTCCTTTTTATAAAAAGAAAGGATCCACAGGATCTCCAAATTGGATTGCAGCTGTGGTACTACAGAAGGAGTCATTACTCCTCATTTCTTTATATTTTCACATGAGGGAAAACATATGGGGTTGAATCAAAACTGAGCCAAACTCGGAATAAATCCATTGAAATTTATCAGAATAAACACCTATTGGCTAAAATCCTGTCATATAACTCTGCCTGCACAATGGGACTAATGCCAGCAGATTCCTTCCAATTAAAGGCTTCCTTTTGTGATGGGATAGTGGTAAAAAGATTGCATGCAATGAAATAAAGTCACTTGCAGCTCATAATTCCAAAAGTAAGTAGTTAATCAATAGCAATCTGCCGCTGTAGACGACATCATTCCTACTGCGCAGGCAGACCCCAACCAACAGGATTTCAGCTATTGATTTAAAACAATTTAACTGTGATTAAGACTGAATTTAACCTAAGGCATGGACAAAAAAGTACTCCCTCAATGCTGATTCAATTTTCAATCTGCAACAGCTATTGTATAAAGAAAGATTTCAAGTAACCCAGACAAATATCTCTCACATTTTACCCTATCTGGCCTGCAGGTTTACACCAATAGTTTCCAAAGGCATCCAACTGGGAAGTGCCCTTAGTGGGAATCATATGGATTCCATGCTAAATTTGTACAAGAAACATGTTAGATAAGACAACAAAGATTCAAAAACATCAAATGTTGAGACACCAAGATTGAAAACACATTAATATATCACAACAAATGTTTTCACCAATGTGTTTAGAATTTCAAGGAACGTGTCCATATTGACGTGTCTACCAAAAAACCTCTGTATCACTGAGATCCCTCCTCTGCTTATAACTAGGCACATGGCATCTGAAGAGGGTTCTAGGGCAGTGGTCCCTAACCTTTTTGACACCGCGGACTGGTTGGAGGGGGACGGGGTCTGTGTGCAGGGGAGGGAGGCACCCCCTGTACTTACGCACATGTGTGAAGGGGCAGCACTTGCACACACGCACTCGCATGCATGCGGAAAGAGGCAGAGGGTACTCGCACAGTGTGTGCACACACGTGAAAAGGGTGCTTGCAGGGTGCCAGGGCCACAGACCAGGGGTTGAGGACCCGTTCTAGGGCACAGTTGAATTTACAAATGCTTAATTCTTCCAGGGCAGATGCCACCTCTCTTAGTAGGATGATGCCACATGAATGGGGACTTCCTTGCAACTGCTCATTGTAACAGAGCAACACCGATAGTAGTGAGTAAGCTGTCTTTCAGAATGTGGAAGATCCTGACACAGGAGAGTAAACAGGCCAGTGGGTTGATCTACAGAGAAAGTGACAAGGGTGTGCCTTGATCAGCAGAGGTTCTCTGAGCCTCGCCAAGAATACCAGCGGTGACCATGGTAACACCATTAGAGACCATGCAGCAAGTCCTCGTGACAGGACCCCCATCCCACATGATCAGTCCCAGTGATCCACCAGTACCCTGAACAGTACTCCACCACCCCAACCTATCTCACCTACCGGCTGAGTTTTGCTGAGTCTTTGAGTGGATCGACACCACAGCAGCCTCAGCCTGCAGCCCCTCTTCAGGTCACTACGGTCCTTTCCCCCTATGCTAGGCTGATGGCTGAGTCCACCACACCCAGAGCCAGATCTCAGTGGCTATCCAACACCCTTGCTGTATCACTCAGTGCCTTGCCCATCTCAATGGTGTACTGGACTTGGTGAAGGAGTACGGATCTTATCCTGCCCCAGCAAACCTTTAAGGACTGCCAAGAGACTTTAAGCACAGTTTGGTATCTCGTTGATGTGTTGGATAGTTAGACCTGTTGGCCACCTGTTCTTAATCCTGTTCTCAGTTCAATAAACCATTGAGTTTAAGCAACTAAATTGTGTGGTGATGGAGTGGGTGACTGGGATAGATGGTGCCTTAGAAATACAAAAGACAGAATTTGTCCTTCCCATGTCACCTGTTCTTAATCCTGTTCTCAGTTCAAAGCAACTAAATTGTGACTGGGATAGATGGTGCCTTGGAAATACGAAAGACAGAATTTGTCCTTCCCATGCACTGTTGGGAAAAAATGGCTCATTTGGCCATGCCAGATCCTCTGATAATTCTGAATCCAGCATTAGCTTTCTTTAGTCCTCACCGTTCAAAATATTTCCAGCGATTCCTTCCACTGACTTCAGGATCTTCATGCTCAATTCTGGGACCCTGAAGTGAGGGCTGAGATCTATAAGAAGGAGATGAGAGTAAGATTCATTACTGGATTTAACATTATGGAAAGATATAACATTCTGTTAAAGAAATTACCAGTGTTTCAGCAAATAACTAGAGAGAGAGTAAGTTATCATTCTGAAATGAGAAGTCTGTATCTTCTGAAAATCAGGGAGCTTTCATGCTTGTTTGGCAGGTCATATTTGAGGGATTTTGTTCATTCACTCCTGCCTCTCATGCCTCCCGGTCTGCATTTCTGAAAATGAACCTGCATATTTCCTTTTAGCTACTGTAGTAATGTTGCCTCTGGAGCAAGACTTGGGGGTATTCCAAGATCAAGCCATGTCACTTGAGGAAGCAGAACCAGCTATATTTGCTGAAGAGGTCATGTGGGCAATGAACAAACTGTCAAATAACAAAGCTCCAGGGGTTTGCTGAGGCCATTCCATGGACTGGTAACAAAGCTCCAGGGGTTTGCTGAGGCCAGTACCAATGGCAATTATTAGAGTCTTATGCCAAAAAATTTGGAAAACCAATACATGGCCACAAAACTGGAAACAATCAGTGTTTACTTTGTTACCAAAAAAGGGAGATTCAAAAGATAGTTATAACTACTGCACGATTACTCTCATCTCTCACACTAGTAAGATCTTACTCAAAATTATATAACAACGCCTGGCACCAATCCTCAAAAGGAAATTGCAAGATGTTCAAGCTGGTTTCAGTCTAGGCTGTGGCACCTGTGTTCACATTGCAAGTGTTTGATGGATAATGGGAAAATATTATGAACATCAAAAGAACTTCTACATGTGCTTCACAGATTGTAGGAAAGCTTTCGTCTATGTTGAGCATGACAAACTATGGAGAGCCCTAGAAGACCTTGGGGTGCCACTACATTTGGTGAAGTTGCTGAAATCACTGTATGAAAATCAGGAAGCCATTGTACAAACTCAACATGGAGACACTGATTGGTTTAAGAGCGAGAAAGGTGTGTAGCAAGGTTGCATCCTGTCACCTTTCTTATTCAACTTGTATGCTGAAGTGATAATCAGAAAGCTGGAGTTAGAAGAATCAAAAATTGAGGTAAAAATTGGTGGAAGAAACATCAATAACTTTCAACGTGTGGATGATACAACTCTCCTCTCAGAAACCCAGGAAGGTCTAAAGTACATGATCATGAACTGAGAAGTTTGGCTTCTTTTTGAATATTAAAAAGACCAAACTCATGACAACTACAAAGAATCAAAACATCGAAACAGTAATTGGTGGAGAGGAGGTTGAATGTGTTGAAGAATTAATCTTTTCAGGTTCACTCGTCAATCAAAATGGTGATTACAGCCAAGAAATAAAACATTGAATAATGCTAGGTCACACAGCAATGATGAGTATGAATCAAATATGGAAAAGCAAGGATGTCAGCTAGATGATTAAAAGCTGATTAGTTCACACCATCATATTCACCATTACTACATATGGCTGTGAAAGTTGGACAATTAAAAAGAGGGACAGAAGGAAAATTGATTCTTTTGAGCTATGGTGTTGGAGGAGGCTCTTGCCCATTCCATGGACTGCAAAGGTAACGAATAAAGAAGTGGATAAAACTGAACATATCACTGGAAAGCAAACTAATATAACTTAGACTGTTATTTCGGCCATGCCATGAGATCAACAACATTGGAGAAAGACAGTATGCTTGGAATGGTCAGTGGTAAAAGACGACAAGGACACCGAAGAACGTGTTGGTTGGATGGAATCAAAGAAGACACTGGCTAAAATATAAAGCAGCTGAAAGAAGCTGCAGAAGATCGGAAATGCAGTTCTGGAGAATCAATGCAGTTCTGAAGAAGAGGACAATAATAGAAGAAGAATATAGATGGAGGAATAAGAAGATTATTGCAAGAGGTCCCGACTATGGTGGTGGGGAACACAGTTAATTTATATTTTGGTTTATGTATTTTATGTTTATGTTTATGTTATAGTTAAATGTTTTATAAAGAAGAAGATTGGAAATAATGGAGAGAGCTGGCTCATTAAATCACCAAGGGTTGGAAAACACTGAATGGACAATCCAATTCAATTCAGATAAATGTTTAGGCAACAGAAGGGAGGATTTGTTACACCATGCTTGATTGGCACCATGCTAAATAGTTACTGAGATATGATAACATACTACTTCTCTCAAAGTCAAATAATGTTATGACGAAAGATATGTTGGAATAACTATACATTAAGGAATATTTTAAATAAAACCTTACAAGACAGAAAGGTACTTACATGTCAAACTTCTGAAAAGCCTCAAGACGATGCTGTGCTCTTCCTCTCCACCTTCGGTCAACGAATGGAGGAACAGGATATTTTTCTTCTAATTGTACAGAGTATGATGGATAGTGAATCAGGTTACTAAACATGGCTTTAAATTCTGGCATTTTCCTCTTTTTTAATGGGAAAAAGATAGGAAACACAAATATTGCATATAAACACATGAAAAAATAACATCAAGGTAGATTTGTGTGATATCAAGTAAATATTTATGGTAACAAACCAAAGCATTTAGATAATTCAGAGTTTCCAGTTCATATATATACATATATATATGAATGCACACATACATATGTACTGCATGTTCTAAAACCTGAAGCAATTTTAGCACTTTGTAAAAACACATTTGCTTTGAGATCATCCAAATATCTAGAAGACTCAAGTGAGGAGATAGAGAACACTAATCACACTTCTTATGATACAAGCAATTGTTCATGAAAACAGAATTCTTTGTCTGGTAAAAAGGGAAACATTCCTTGCAAAGAATTTACATAAAAACTGAAGCTCTACCAAGAAGTATTGTTAGAAGATTCTTACTACTGGCATACCACTATAATGTTACACAGTAAACTTTGAAGCAGTATGATGAAATACTGTACATGTTTCACATTGCTATGGGGAGACAGATACCGCCTGTATTTATCTTGCATGTTATTATGCCAAAATACTTCTGCAATAATATATTTCAAAAAATGTTGTATTGCCAATGTGTTCCTTAATTATAAAAAAGCTGAAAATCTCCATTGTAGACCATTATGCCAAGACTGATCTGCCAGTATGCCGATAGATGAGATGCATAGGTGTTCACACCACACCTAAATGATATCTTCTCTGTAAATTTATTCCTTTCCTTCACAAGTAGATTTCAAACGGCTAAATTCAGTGTGAGTCCCAAGTAGAATAAACCCGCTTAAATCAATGGGTTGATTACAAATTCCATTCATTTAGTGGGGCCAATGTAGTTGCGATTACCACTGGATTTACTGGATTCACCAAAACAATCAATTATATTTTTTAAAGAAATGTGAAAGAAATGTTATGAAAGAACTGTCTAAAACTATTATCACCTACCATTTGGTCATGAGCCAGATGAGCCTGGACAGTTGCTTGTGCATGGTCCCTCTCACTAGATAACATATATATTGGATCTAAAATACAAATGAACAGTCAAAAACATTTTCAGAAGTGTGCAAAAGAAGGACAGAAATAGTTACCTAATAGCCCCTATACAATAGTGCAGATAAACAGGATATTGATTTTACTACTGGATAGCTCATTTCTTACCTCATAGCACAGAAACCATTTCCAGGACCACTTCTGAAAGTTAAGAAAAATAACACCTTTTTCAAGCACAGTTGGAAAGTGCATGAATACTATCTGGGGTAGACAGCACAGTGCTGCCAAATAACTGAAATATGAATGAGCTGCTATCACTCATACTGATGTTATTTGATACTGCGTTAGGTAAAGAAAAACTGCCAAGAAATCCAGAAAGGAAAAGAAAAACATTAACCTAGTATTTCCTTAGGTCTCCAGAACAACATTTATATTGTGGAAGTTCAAATCAATTTTGGTACCGGGCTGCTAATAACGCCCAAGATGATTGCTATTTTTAAAAAAATCATCATTCTATTCCTTGTCATCTCTATAGGAAAACACATTTTAGATATATTTTGCCTTAATGTGCAAAAAAAATGTCTTGCCAAAATATCAATTCTGCATTGAAAAGTAGTTATTACGGTAGTAGAAAAGTCTATTAGAGCAGGAAAAAAACATTACTCTTGCAAGAAGGGACTGGAGAAATTTGTCATGTTCTCTGGAGATAAACTTTCCTGTTACATATACCAGAACAGGAAGCAGAACTGTCCATATAAATGAAGAAACTAGATCCCTATACTGTACTGTTTCACTTCCACTGAAAGGCCCACTAGCAATTCTGCCTGGGGAGGCCTTTCTCTCAGTCCCACCACCTTCACAAGTGCATTTGGTGCAGACACAGGAGAGGGCTTTCTCTGTGGCTATTCCCAGACTTTGAAACTCTCTCCCACTGGAAGCTAGGCTGGCCCCATCTTTGCTGTCCTCCCACAAGAAGGGAAAGACCTTTCTCTTCAGGTAGGATTTTCCTTGGTGACTGATTTGTCTAGGAGACAATACATGGGATGGTTTATATTTTGTTGCTTCTAAATCTGTTTTAGTAATGCTTTTACTATGCATTTTAATATAAAGTTATTCATTCTTTTTAAATATTTTAACAATTTACTGATTTTAGCTTTTAATATTGTTTTTAATAATGTAAGCCACCTTGAGTCCTTTTTTTGAAAAAGGCAAAAAATATTTTAAACAAATATATAAATAAGATTGTATCACTTATGCAGCGGAACAGCTGATCGGCGGGTCGCAAAGCGAAGGTTGGTAAGCGAACCGCTTACCGACCTTCGCTTTGCGATTTTCGCCCATTGGGGCCATCGCTCTGCGATCGCATTAGCAATCGCAAAAGCTTCATCGTAGAGCGAATTCATCGCTCTACGGGGCGCTCGTTGTGGGAGGCACCACTGTACTGTACTGTTTCACTTCCACTGAAAGGCCCACTAGCAATTCTGCCTGGGGAGGCCTTTCTCTCAGTCCCACCACCTTCACAAGTGCATTTGGTGGAGACACAGGAGAGGGCTTTCTCTGTGGCTTTTCCCAGACTTTGAAACTCTCTCCCACTGGAAGCTAGGCTGGCCCCATCTTTGCTGTCCTCCCACAAGAAGGGAAAGACCTTTCTCTTCAGGTAGGATTTTCCTTGGTGACTGATTTGTCTAGGAGACAATACATGGGATGGTTTATATTTTGTTGCTTCTAAATCTGTTTTAGTAATGCTTTTACTATGCATTTTAATATAAAGTTATTCATTCTTTTTAAATATTTTAACAATTTACTGATTTTAGCTTTTAATATTGTTTTTAATAATGTAAGCCACCTTGAGTCCTTTTTTTGAAAAAGGCAAAAAATATTTTAAACAAATATATAAATAAGATTGCATCACTTATGCAAGTATTGTTTTTGTGCAAGGAGTAATGTCATTGAAGTAAACATGTCCCCTCTGCTTCCACAATGGTAATGCTTGTGTAAGTGGTGTAATCCTACACTGCTATGATGGAAAGGTTTTCTGCTTCAGTAAAATTAACATGGATACTACTGTGACTCAACAGCAACCTGTTATTCAACCCAAAAACAAATATTGTAGGAAAGTGTAACTTTATTCTCTTTTTGACATGTAATACTTCATATGGAAACTGTGGTTTTCAAGAAAATTTTAAAATATTTAGACAGGGATGTCCCCTCTCTCCATTGTTATTCATATTAACTTTGGAAGTAGCCTTGTGGTGCAGTGGTTAAACTGCTATACTGCAGCTAAAACTGTGTTCACAACCTGGGATTCAATCCCAGGTAGCCGGCTCAAGGTTGACTCAACCTTCTATCATTCCGAGGTCGGTAAAATGAGTACCCAGCTTGCTGGAGGGGGGATGTGTAGTCTGCATAATTAACTTGTAAACTGCCCAGAGAGTGCTTGAAGCACTATGGGGCGGTATATAAGCAGCAATTGGATATATTGGCTTTGAAAAATGGCAAAAACTGTGGTCTAGAAACTATAAAATGACAATGGCAACATCTTATAAGGAGAATTTATATAAAATGTTTTATAGATGGCATTTAGCACCTGATAGATTAGGTAAAATTTATTTTAATAGGTTAAGTAAATGCTGGAAATGTCATTAAAAACTGGAACTTATTATCACCTTTGGTGGACCTGTGATAAATCAATTTTTTTGGGAAAAAATGCATATATGGCTTGTTAAAATAATCAAAAAACATGTAGATTATAATCCAGAACTCTTTCTATTAGGTATAATACCAGAAAGTGTTGATAAACAAAATGTATATTTAATACT